TTTTGCCTATGGGATTGTTGAACTTGTATTTAAACCTCTTATTTTAAGGTTAAATATTTTTGTGAAAATTCATACTCTATCTTTCATAAATTGAATAATTATTAGTGTTAAAAATCTTGTTAACTTATGTTTAAATTAAGGAATGTGTTTTATTAAAAATTGAATTTGTTTGCTAGAATATAATTAGCATAGGAAACACATGATTTGTTCTCATGTTAATGACCTTTGATACTTATTGAAATTGTGAATAATTATTTCCTACTATATTGCTAGCTTTTGTTAGTTTTTAATTTTGTGCTTGAGAGGAGCAAGCAACTTGTTTAAGTTGGGGAGATTTCTGATTAAGTGTTATTTATAGTATTTTAATGTAATTTTTAATGTAATTTTTATTAAAGTTTTTAGTATTTTTAATTACTTTATTTAGTTTTTATCTTAATTTTATTTATGTTTTCATATAAAAGCTTCCTTGAATCCTAATTCATTGATCTTAAGGAATTTGTAGGGTTTTTGCACAGAAAATGACAAAATGAAGCAAAAATATTTTAGCACACTCAGCCCGTGCCAATCAGCACGACCGTGCTAAAACCAAAGAAATTCAAGCAAAGAGTCAGACCCTGGCACGCCCCAGACCGTGCGTCCAAGCACGCCCGTGCTAAATACCAAGTGCTGATTTAAGTCAAAATTTCCAACCATTCCTTATCATTTTCCTTATCATTTTATTTAGCTCAACCCTTGGATACTTTTCTTGACATGCAAATCAAGTTCTTAATCTATTGCACATAGAAGAGACAAGGAGCTATGAGAGAAATTTAAGGCCTAATGAGAACTTTATTCCCCTAAACAAGGTGGAAATTTATTTCCCTCACAAAAGTTGGACTTTACTCATTAAAGCATAAGGCTTGTTCCCCCAAGAAGTCTATATAAAGAGGGGAAGGAGCCATTCCAAGGGCATCCCATACTCTACATCTCTTCTCCCATCTCTCATAGCTTTGTATATAGTTTTGTTTCTCCTAGAAGTTAGGCATTCAAGAGTTGTGCAAAGTTTCAAGGAAGTCATCCAAGCAATCATTCACTAGTTCTTATTTCTAAACTCTTAATCTTGTTTATTTCTTTCATTATTCTTATTAATTATGAAATATTTATCAAGTATTATTGAGTCTTATTTAAGTATTATGTGTAACTAAACTCTTATACTAGGGGTTTGATGTAGCTTAATCTCTTTTCCAATTTATGCAATTAGATTTATTTTTCCTTACTATATTCAAGTTTATGATTTATTAATGAACTTAATGCTCTCTAGGCAGTAATTTTTCCCCAGATTTGATTTATTTCAATTAATCACTATCGGGAAAAAGGCATCTTGATAAGAAAAAAGTTAATGAAAATCACATGAGAATAATAATCTTGATGCGCGAAGCATATGGTTTGACTCATGGGGATTTTTATGATTATCAAACCTTAAATTGTAAATTTCATAAACAAACTACCATAACTTAAGATTTAATTCATATTTGATTGCACTATTGGAAGAATAGCGTAATTAAATGGAATTAAAAATAGCTTAGCCAATATATCGGAAAGAGCTTGTTAGTTGAATTCCAGAGTTTGTTTCCCCTTACTTGAATAAATTAAATTGAATTAATGAACTAATGAATATAATTGGATAGAAATAATTGAAATCAAAACCCCTAGTAGTTTCAATCCTTTGAATTTCTTTTAATTCAAGTTTATGTTTACTTGGACTCTTGTTTATTTATATTTATAAAAAAACAATTCTCTCAATTATCGTTTAAATAATAACAAAGATAACATTAATTTGTATTTGGATTTACAATCCTCGTTGGAGGAACGATATCTTACTCATCAATATAATCATAATTTTGGTATTTGGATTACAATCCTCGTGGGAACGATATCTTACTCATCATATATTACTTGTAGCGATTCGTACACTTGCGAAATAAGCTATCAAAATGGAATCTAAAAGTTTAGTTTTTCGTATATTAACTAAAAGATAGAATCGATTATGAAAATATTGAATTGGTTCGAACAGAATCAACATGATTTGGTTTTTGGTTAACCCAACCACACTCGATTGTAATGATTTGTGGGATAAACTTGTTTGTAAACTAATTAATGGCAAGCTAGAAAATGAAGGAATATATGAATTATATTACTTTCTCCATTCCACTTTAATAGCAATAAAAGGACATTTTACTTTGTTTCACTTTAAATGCTCATTTAGGTTTTTGAGAGTATATTAATAAATTTTTTTCAATTTTATCCATATTTATTATGTGTAATTCATTTTTTATTTACATTTATTTTTATTTTTTATCATTGCTTTAATTGTAGTTAAATTAAAATTTTGGCTACACCTAACTAAAATTTTTTCATTATATCAAGGCATGAAAAAATGAAATGAAATAGTTATGGTGGTGCTTTAATATGAGATAAAATTAGCATTCGTTTCGTAGTAAAATTAAATGGAGAAATTTTAATTTTAAAAAGGAAAATTTAGGCATTGTACTATGTATTTTTAGAAAATCAATGTATTTCAATCGTTTTCTTAATTCTTGTAAAAAGATGAAATGCTATTATTAAAGTGGAATGGATGGAATATTACTATGGTTTTTTCTAAATAAATGGAGTTATTTCTTTAACTTTCACATTTACAAAAATTAGACTTATTTACCAAATCAATTTAATACAGTTATTTGGTGTAAATAAGGATATTATTGTTATTTTCTGAGAAAAAAAGGAAAAATTAGTGAAAAATTACAATATTTTTATCAAATGACTATTCAATTTTAACTTGATGTATATATCATTCCATATACTAGGTGTACGTAAGTATTTTTATTTTTCATAAATTAAATGTGAATGAGAAAGAAAACATTAATTTTGTGGGAAAAAATGTAGGAAAATTGTGATTCTAACAACTATAAACTTTTATGTGCATACAACATTAAGGATATATTTGGTTTATCCTGGAAATAAAGTGAAAATAAATATTTAAGTCTAAAAAATGTGTTTCAAGTTTTTCTATAGTTAAATAAAGAATAATGGTATTATCATGATAATTATTTCAAAAATAGATATTATATAAAATAAATACATTCTTAAAATATAGTAAAAAGTATCATCAAATATTTAAATTTCCTAAAACTAGTAAGAAATTGGATTTTTTTTTTTAAAAAAAAAAATTTGATGAGGATGGGCAATGGCACATTAGGACATTTTAGTGTTTTTAGTATTTTCTCTGTTGAAACTTTGAAAGTCATGTGTAGTTCACGTTATTTTAGGCCAGTTAATTAAAATTTTCCCAACTCATCCAATACTGCATTAATGGTAGGTCCAACTGACCTATTCACGAAAAATATGTTTTAATTAATTATTTATATATCAGCTTAAATTATAAATATTTGGTAACAATAATTATTTAATTAGTTATTTAATTTAAAATAATAAAAAATAACATTAGTTGTTTTACTAGTTAAATAAAAAAAAAAGAGTATAACTGTTAATTAGTTATTTAATTTAAGATGATAAAAAAGATATTAATTGTTTAACTAGTTAAATTTTAAAAAAGAACGAGCATGGTTCTAAAAAAAAAAAAAATTAATATATGTGAAACTATAAATATTAAAGTGGTCAACATTTGATAAACAACTAATTCAATATCTAAAAGCTATTATAAATATAATTATTAAATAAATAGAGGTGATCAAAATACTAGTAAAAGCTATTTCCGGATATAGCTTTACAGTTTATATACAAAAATTTTCATTCAGATATTAAAGTAAAAAGTTTTAAAAATTTCGAAAACCAAATTCAAAATTATCTCAAGAAAAAAATAATGAGAATTATTTGAAAAATATATATTAGTTAAAAAATTATTCTTAAAATATCGAAAGTATCAAAAAAAAATTTTTTTTTAATTGCTATCTTTTTTTGTTTGTTCTTTTTTATGAATCTTAAAAACACTTTTTCTTCAAGAGTGAAAAGGACGTTAGCTCACAGTTGTTAGTTCCGTGGAGTATACTTATTATTATTATTATTTTTTTTTTTTTTTGGATTCCGTGAGTATTACTTATTATTGATTATTATTTTTTTTTTGGATGTCTAAAGGCTTTCGTGTACGGAAAATTAACTTAAACCCACATGCTTTTTTTTCTTTATCAAGAAAGCTCTCAAACAGAACAAAAAACGCGCAGAAAATTTGGACACACCTCTATTCCCCTTCTCATCTTTCCACTATAAAAATTCTGCAACTGCCAAGACTATAATTGCCGAAAACTGTTAATTCTAACTTCAATTCCATTAAAACTATGGGTGAAATACAAAAATTATGAACTCCCTAAATTTCACAAAATTATACATGTAATTTTTATTCCCTTTTATGTTCCAAAGGCCACCACCATCCCACTCCTCCACTTTAGCCCACCTCCTACTCCGCTCCGTAGCATGCTGTTTTAATCACGTGTATTTACAACCTCCGGCCGAACTATCCTTTTCATTGCTTGACTTCCTTTCCAACACAACACTGCCTCTATTCATCCGTTCCTTTCCTTTCCCACAAAATAATCCAGAAATCCTTCTGGTGTTGAAAGGGCACCAGACAAACTCTCGTTCTAATGTCGTGTGTTTCACCTTGTTTTAGCCCTTGCCACGCAAACACATGGCAACGCGACTTGCAACGATAAACTTGAAACTCTTCGAAGTCATTCGGTTAATCTTTTATTGCGATTTGATGGTTTCGTATGGCGGGGTTGTCTAGTCTTGCTAGAAGTTTGCGTTATTCCAAAACTGTTTATTCTTAGTGTTTCGAATAATTTTATTCTTCATGTCTCTAAAAGCGTTGATTAAAGAAGATGGCCTTCTGTCTTTTTTTTTTTTTTTGGATTCTAAGGCTTTCGTGTACGGAAATTACTTACCCACTGTTTTTTTTCTTTATAAGAAAGCTCTCAAACAGAACAAAAACGCGCAGAAAATGACACACCCATTCCCTTCTCATCTTCCACTATAAAAATTCTGCAACTGCCAAGTATAATTCCGAAACTGTGAATTTAACTTCTATCCATTAAAACTATGGGTGAAATACAAAATATGAACTCCAAATTCACAAATTATCATGTAATTTTATTCCCTTTTATGTCCAAAGGCCACACCATCCCACTCCTCCACTTAGCCCACCTCCTACTCCGCCGTAGCATTGTAATCACTGTTTTTACAACTCCGGCGAACTATCCTTTCATTGCTGACTTTCTTTCCAATACCACTGCCTCTATCATCGTCCTTCCTTTCCCACAAAATAATCCAGAAATTCCTTCTGGTGTTGAAAGCACAGACAAACTCTCTTCTATGTCGTTGTTTCACCTTTTTAGCCTTGCCACCAAACACATGCAACCAGACTTTGAACGAAAACTTGAAACTCTTCGGTCATCGGTTAACTTTATTGCGTTTGATGGGTTTCTATGGTGGGTTGCTGAGTCTGCTATGAAGTTTGGTATTCCAAAACTGTTATTCTTAGGTTCGAATAATTATTCTTCATGTCTCTTAAAAGCTGTATTAGAAGATGGCCTTCTGTCAAGGCCTGAGTTAGATAATGACGAGTTAATGACTGTGAGACAGTTTCCATGGATAAAGGTCAATAGAAATGACTTCGACCCATTATTTACTGGCGCTGAACTAAAGGGTCCTCCTTTGGAGCATCTGTCAAAGGTAAACATAGCACATTCACTATGCGATGGTTTTATAACAAATAGTTTCTACCAACTTGAATCTATTTTGGTTGATTATTGGAACACTCGTAATAAACAAAAGTCCTGGTGTGTGGGGCCATTATGTCTAGCCAAGAAATTACAGAAAATAGAAAGAGACGAACCATTTTATAAGAAACCCAGTTGGATTCGGTGGTTAGACCTAAAGTTAAATGAAGGAAGCTCAGTCTTGTACGCAGCTTTTGGATCTCAGGCTGAGATCTCGCAGGAACAATTAAATGAGATAGCAAATGGGTTGGAAGAATCTAAGGTGAACTTTTTATGGGTGATAAGGAAAAAAGAGTCAGAACTTGGAGAAGGCTTCTTAGAAAGAGTAAAAGAAAGAGGAATTATAGTGAGAGATTGGGTTGATCAAATGGAAATATTGATGCATAAGAGTGTTAAAGGGTTTTTAAGTCATTGTGGATGGAATTCGGTTTTGGAGAGTTTATGTGCAGGAGTACCAATTCTTGCATGGCCTATGATGGCTGAACAACACTTAAATGCAAGAATGGTAGTGGAGGAGATTAAAGTTGGATTGAGAGTGGAGACATGTAATGGGTCTGTGAGAGGATTTGTGAAGAAGGAAGGTTTAACGAAGATGGTAAAGGAGTTGATGGAAGGAGAGAAGGGGGCAGAGGTAAGAGAAAAGATGAAAGAGGTTTCTAACATGGCGAACAAAGCGATGGAGGAAGGGACTGGATCGTCATGGCGTACGTTAGATAACCTTATTGAGGAGATTTGTAGTAGCAAACAAGATAGTCAAATAGTAATTAATTAGTGCTATATATTAGCCTGCATGCCTAATACAATCAATAAGAACACTTGAGGGTTGCAAGACTCTTGATGTTCGGAGTTCATGCTCTCTTAATGCTGGATCTTTTAATCTATATTTGCACGTTATTTGTTCGTAATCATTATGTATTCATATTTAATTTTTTATATAATATTTTACTAATTTCTTTATCCTGATAATATGATACTATAAATCAGTTATATTACTAAAAATCTCAAGTGATGTTTGGTTCGTCATGTAATTAAATGATGATTTTACTACATGATTAATTATAACGTGTGGACAAATTTCATTTTACACACTCTAATGTAACAGGGATTCTAATCCCATCCTCATCACTTAAAATGATAGAATATCTCCAGAAAAAAAATATATATATGTATTGCCAGTTACATCAATTACATGTAATACCAATTATTTCAAGCCACCCAGATCAAAACACATACTCCTTCCGTTCTATTTTATTTACATGGTTTGACAAAATACGCATGTTAAGAATTTAGTCAACAAAAGTTAGTTTGTGCTTCGTTACCTTTAATAACTCATTAAGATATTAATAAAAACTCTTTATTTAATAAATAATTATAAAAGTTATTATAGAAAAAAATAATTTTTTACATATATAAATTTAGAAACCTTACAAATATTTTAAAATATCCAAAAAAAGAAATAACAATCAAACGAAATGAAACGAATGGAGTATTTTTTAACAGTATTGCCTCACTACCTTCTCAACCATTCTACCACCACCATCTCAACTACTCTCCTACCATCACTGCTGCCGCCATCTCAACCACTCTACCACTGCCACCATGTGGTTGTTGGTGGTGGTGCTTCTACGTACCTAGGGGCGGCATTAAACGGGTATGGGTAACACCTAATATTATCGCTTGAAAGATGTGAAGCCAGCAGTATAACAATTGGCCGTAGAGGCAAATGCTGAAACTACAGCTATTCTGTATAATTTATCAGGGCAAAATATTATTAATTTCAATTTGAAGCACAAGTGCTCGCATTAAGTATTAACAAACTCCAATGTACAAAGTAGTTTGTCTCTCTCAAAATCTAAATTTATATTATCAAATTCTCGCATCTCACATTTGCTTTAATCATCTCTTTATTTTTTCAAATTGATGGAAAGTGATTAAGGATTATGGTTTTATGTCCCTATAATCTAATTTAGAGAGCTATGTTAGTTATAGTGTGAGGTAAGGTACTTTTAATTAATTATAGTACTCTTATAGTTTGATAATTTATGAGTTTGATTGCGATATTACTGACTCTGTTTATTTTTGGAAAATAACTAACGTTTGAAAAATATTTTCTAAGGATGAAAATATTTTCCATATGATTTATTTTCCATTGTTTGGTTGCAATATTGAAATTAGTTAAAAATATTAAAATTGTTAACTCATAAGACCATAATAATAATAATAATAATAATAATTTGGTATTTTAAAAATTTTACTATTAAATATGAGAATAATGCCAAAAAAAGGTAAATTATGAAAGTCACCGATCACCGGTGATAGTGGCCGGTGGTGAATGATAAGTGATGGTAATAGCTATCAATGATTAAAAAATTAAAAAAATATGGATTTAAAGGTTATAATTAGTTTGATAAAATTCGAAAAATGATTTACAATCTTAAAAATAAAAAGTCATTTTTTTTAAAATGACTTAATTTTTTGCTGACTTGGAAAATATTTTCCATTAACTTATTTTTCTAAACACCCTAAATAATGAAAAATTATAAAAAGTAAAGGGATATTGACATTTAAACATCTTATTAATATTTTGGTTTTTACTGTGACGGCAACCACTCTAACTGACAAATCTTCTTGAATACATGGACTACACCTAAACAAGTTCTTCACGCAACCGATTTAGTTTTTATGTTATTATTTCCCCCTTCGGGCTAAATTTTAAAGGCCTAAACTTATCACATATTACTTTTATATATCACAATTAACAAAAAATATAAAACAAATACTTAAACAGTTTGGTTCCATAAGAAGCTTTAGCTTTTTTCTTTTTTCTTTTTTCTTTTTTTTTTTTTTGGAAAATAAGAAGCTTTATCTTAGTTTTTATACAATATAATATAACATTTTTTAAAATAATGAAGATGTTTGGCTCGTGATGACTCTGACACAATAAAAATCTTAGTTTGTTGAATTACAGTAATGCCCTTCTTGAATTTTGACGGGAAATGGTGCACTAAAAGAAAGAAAAAAAAGTAATAATTTCTTGTGTTGGATAATGTGAATGCAGATTTTTCACTGTTGCATGTAAAAAGAATGTAGCCTGCATGTTACACACGTGGAATGACGGGGAAGGGTGCTTATGAATTATATGACTTTTAATTATTGTGAAATTTTTTTTAGGATAAATAGTAGGATAATGATAGATGCCCTGATTCCTTCCAATACACAGGCAAGTATTTAAAATTTGTGGTGGGCCATCTTAGAAACTGTCTACTTTAGGTAATAAATATTGAAAGAGGGGTATATTTGGAATTAGCAATTTAAATGAAAGGCAGCAAATTACTTTTTCTTATGCACCGCCACTCTCCATCCAAGCTAAGACGCATTTCTATGGCTTCCTTCGTAGATCCAAAAATAAATTTAACAGAGAAAATAAAAAGTTAAATAAGTAGCTAAATTTTAAAGATCATGTTGCATCAGCATCCTCTCCACTGCCAAATGCTACTGCATCCTCTCCTTCATCACTTTAATTTTTTCATTTTTCTATGTGGATTTTGCTATACAAATATTTGATTTGACTTTGGTTTTGGAATTTGTATATAAATCTGTGCTGATTTGCATTCTTACCCCCAAAAAAAAAAAAAAAACTTTGTTAACATCTTCATAATTTTATAATTTCACAGTAAGTTACTGATTTTGTTTCAATTGATACGATGTTAAGGCATGGCTAGAACTTTTTTTTGCAAGGAGGGAGAGAAATGGTGGTGGAGGTGGTAGTTGTTACCAATTAAAACAAGCTTACAAGCAATTGTAAGATTTTTTTCTTTTCTCTGTTCCGTAGATCTCTATTAGAGTTGTTGGATTCGTACTGCTTTGGTGAACTTGGTTTTGGTGGGGTATTGGAAGAGGATTTTGATTGGCGGTCCTTGTAGTATTTTTCCACATTTATTGACATGTTTTTTGGATTCTTTCCTAACGACGAAGCCAAAAATCTTAACTTTAGGGCACTGGGGACAAGAATATTTGTTGATGCATGGATTGTACAGACTGAACTTTAGATTTTCGACAGGCAAAAACTAGAATCAACTTGATTTTAAATTTTAGAATTGAATATGTATATTTTTTTAAAAATGTATAAATAATAGTCCCCCTGTTTGTTAATAAATGTTCATTTTGTCAGAAAAAAATTTTTCAATTTAAGTGTCCAGTTATCAAATTATATTAAGAAACGAAAGTACTAACTTAATTATCAAAAACTTCTTTCAAGAAAACAGTGGGACTAAAATGTGTTTCGAAAAAATTTTATAAAAAGAATAGTGCAAACTGAAGTTATATTTGATATGTTGCAATCAATTATCTAATAGAACGTGAATTACATTGTTTGATTAGACTTTTTGTTAACCTTGTAATGTAATTGAATGTTTAATCTTCGTTACTTAAATTGATGTAATATTATTATATCAAAAAATCTATGTGCCTGTTACATTCCTCAAAGCTCATACTTATTCTCAACCATAACTATCACCCCATCATCATCACTGCTCCACCACCACCGCTATAATTTTATGTTGCAATTTAATTATTTAATGAAACTATATAAAATTATGTAAAATTTGGTGATAGTGATGGTGGCAGAGCAATAATTGTGGTGATGGTGGCGGTGATAGCAGTGTGATAACAGTGGTGTGCTAATTACATTACATATTTACAAATAAAAATAAAATTAAAAATAAAATGGTGATTAACGTTTGATAAATTTTCTTAATTACTTTATCAAATATAGCAATGAAATTTTAATTTCATTCCATTATATTATATTTTTCATTGCATTATATTTTTTATTATATTACATTGCATAAAATCGAACGTACTTATTAAAATTCATAAATTGTGTAAAGCTTTAATAATAATTTAAGGGGGTTAAAAAAGAGCAGGACTAAAAATGCAAGCCTTTCATATTTTGAAGTTTCTTTTACATGGCAAATTTGTCATTCTAAAATCGGATTCATCTTCAATTAAGGCACTCACTCAATTGACATTTTCTTCTCTTTGCGAATGCAAAACTCTTCAATAAGCTTGTCTAACTTGCGCCATGACGATCCAGTCCCTTCCTCCATTGCTTTGTTGGCCATGTCCGAAACTTCTTTGACCTTTTCGCTTACCACTGTCCCATTCTCTCCTTCCATCAACTCCTTTACCATCTTTATTAAAGCTTCCTTCTTCACAAATCCTCTCACAGACCCATTACATGTCTCCACTCTCAATCCAACTTTAATCTCCTCCACTACCATTCTTGCATTTAAGTGTTGTTCAGCAATCATCGGCCATGCAAGAATTGGCACTCCTGCACATAAACTCTCCAAAACTGAATTCCATCCACAGTGACTTAAAAACCCTGTGACACTCTTATGCATCAATATTTCCATTTGGTCAACCCAATCTCTCACTATAATTCCTCTTCCTTTCACTCTCCCTTGAAACCCATCTCCAAGTTTTTTCCTTATCACCCATAAAAAGTTCACCTCAGATTCTTCCAACCCATCTGCTATCTCCTTGAGCTGTTCTTGTGAGATCTCCGCCTGAGATCCAAATGCTACGTATAAGACTGTGCTTCCTTCATTTAACTTTTGGTCTAGCCATTGAATCCATGTGGGTTTTTCATAAAATGGTTCATCTCTTTCGGTTCTCTGTACTTTCTTGGCTAGACATAAGGGCCCAACACACCAAGACTTTTGTCGATTGTGATTGTTCCAGTAATCGACAAAAAGAGATTCCAGTTCATAGAAACTATTTGATATGTAAACATAACTTTTTAATAATGCCGTTAATACTTTTGTAATGAACTCAAAATGAGGGCCTTTTGGTTCAGCATCTGTATGTATTGATTCAAAATCATTTCTAGTGACTTTAATCCATGGAAACTGAGTCACAGTTATTAACTCATCATCATTTGATAACTCAGACCTAAACAAAAGCTTATCTTCTGCTACAGCTTTTGAAATACAGGAGGAGTAATTTGACATACCAGAAAATACCAATCTTGGAATACAAAACTTCATAGCAGAATCTGCAGTCCACCATAAAAATGAATCACACACTATAAAGTTGACAGGACAGAGAGCTTTAAGTGCTCTTTCAAACTCTGGTTGCATGAGTTCTGTTGCTAGGCCAAAGAGAGGAAACAGTGACATAGAAGGGAGTTTGTCTGTGCTTTCGACACCGGGAGGTATTTCCCGAACATTCGCTGGGAAAGGAAGGTCTATAATAGAGGCGGTGGTGTTGGAAAGAAATTCAGCAGTGAAAGGATGGTTTGCTGGAGTTGTAAAAACAGTAATGGTGATGCCACGGCGGAGAAGGAGGTGGGCTAGGTGGAGGAGTGGGATGGTGTGGCCTTTGGCCATAAAAGGGAATAAAACTACATGATAATTAGAGAATTTGGAGCCCATATTTTGGATTTCACCTGTAATTTTGATGGTCAGAAATTGAACTTATTGGTATGAAATTAGATTTGAGATTTGTGGAAAATCTATGGAGGTGAGAGACACTTTAGTGTATATAATGACCTTGTAGAACCATTTCGTGAGATAGATGTAATTACCATAATAAGTTACTTACCTACTGCCTACAGCCGCCCTAAATTTATGTTTATCTTTATGTCAAATCAATTTAACATTTTACGAAAAATTATTCAAATAGCTAAAAATTAAATTATATTAAAATAATTAATAAATATCAAAATAAATAATTTTATAACCGTCGGTACTATAGATATAATATGTGGTGCTTTGTTATTACTGTGTTTCACCCATTATGTACCATATAAATTCATGGTTTCAAATTAAGCTTGAGAGCTGCAGAAAATTTACGTATGGTCGTACCCTCAAAGTCTTCAATTTCTATGGTTCACTAACTACATATATCATTTCTTACAGACCACACAGTTATATAGCTGGAGATTACTACTTACAAAAACTAATGGATGGACTTGCTCCATTCCAGCTTTTTCTCTTCTTTTTTTTCCAATTGGACAAAATTTCTGTAGCAATTAAATACGGGTTTAAAAGTATGTTCGGTAAAATTAGTTATTTTAGTAATTATTAATTATTTTAATAATATTTAATTGTTAACTGTCTGGGCCATAAATCCATAAATATATTATCCTTTATTATCTTTTATCTATCTATTTATATCTATATAACTACATATATATATTAAAACGGGTTTAAAAGGTATGTTCGGTAAAATTAGTTATTTTTCAGTTAATATTAATTATTTTAATAATATTAATTGTTAACTGTCTAGGGCCATAAATCCATAAATAATATTATCCTTTATTATCTTTTTATCTATCTATCATATAATCTACTATAACTACATAATACTAATATATAATATATATATACTGATATATATATATATATTATATATATTATAATATATATATATATATATAAACATGTGGATATATATAAACATGGGTGCTAATATGACACAAAATTAGGGTTTAAAATGATGATTTGACATTTTTTTTATTTTTAATCTAGAGTTTTTAATTTAGAATAATTAACATCTACAATTTTTATAACTTTCAATTTCTACTCGGTGATTGGTAAGTGATAGCAAACCATAATTTTATTACAAAAATAAAATTATAATAAGTAAAAACACAAGTTACTTTCTAAAATTTTTATTTAAAGTCAATAAAAAAAATTCAAAATCCGCGCAACAAGCAGGCTCACAGCTAGTTTAACGTAAAAAAGAAAACAAACAGCACAGCTTCTACACGACTAGTTTAGTCAAAGTATTTATTTTAATTAAGAATAAACTCAACTGATTTTCTGATTGAAAAATTTCTACTAGAGTTAATCCAAAATTTTAGTTTTCGGTAAGTTATATCATGATGAAATTCAAGGGACAAATTGAAAAATTAATTCTTATTAGTTACTCCATGGAACCAACAACCTTAATTTTTTTTAAAAAAAAAAAATTGCAAAGTAAAAAGAGAGGAAATATAAAGTTTCAAGAAATTTGTGAAAAAATTAACTCGAGAAATAACTGAATGAAAAAGACAAAAAAAAAAAAAATCAAATTTTAATGATATGAAGTATAGTTTTTTTCTAAAGAAAAAAATTCAACGATGAGAGATCTTTCAAACTATTTTGTACATTTAACTTTGTCTTGTGCGTTTAAAAATTATATTTTTAATATTAATCTTTATATATATATATGTGTGTGTGTGTGTGTGATAACAATTTATACCAAAAGTCAAGGTCTATAGAGTTAATTACCTTAAAAAAATTCGCATCATATATTTCAGCGTTTCAGCATGCCTAAAATTAAATAGGTAAGTAAATCTCAACTTTCTATATATAAGTGGGAATGGAGGAAGAAATATTAGGATGGGTAAAATTATATAATTAAAAATTTTAATAAAATAAATTATTCTGATAGGCTAAAATAAAATAAGAAATTCTTATTTTTAATAAATTATTGATTTGATTGGCTAGTTTCCTATTTAAATTCAAATCTTATTCTATTAGAAAATTTTGTACAAAATTTATTATTATGACAAATAAAATATATTAATTCCTAGTATAGGTCTTCTTATTTAAGAATTTTATTATAATTAAATGTTATATAATGGATTCAATATAATTCTTATTTAAGAAATAATGATAAAAATTGACTTATTTTGATGGGCTAAAAAATAAAATAAAATAAAAATTGTTATTTTTAATAAATTTTGATCTTGATTGATTTAGTTTCCTACTTAAATCGAAATCTTATTTTAGTATTGTATGTTATTTACACTCATTATGTGACATCCTACCGAGTCGAGTCTTAGCATAGAGTTGAGTAGTCGAGTTGAGTCGAGTTGAACCAAACCCGGTTGGGGTAGAATAAGTGGGAGTTTACTTGAGTGAGAGAAAAAGATCAAAAGCATATGGGTGAGGTTGATTTTACATTAAAAGATGAGTGTTGGGTTATTAAGTGATAGCTTTGCTAATTGAGGTACCTTTAGAACTTTTACACACAAAGTCATGGATATTCTAGAGCCTACCCGTGCATATCACTTCACTTTCCCATTTTTCATGTTTATCTTCATTTTCTTTCTTTCCTCTTCCACCTTCCTTTCAATTTTCATGGTAGTTAAGCCTTAAATTCAACTTTTCTTCTATCCAAGTAAGTAAACCTTCTTTAAGTTCATAATTGAAGCATTTGGTGCTATTCTTTTAGAATTCATAAGGATTCTTATTTATAGGTGAAGGGAGTTCTAAGATTGTAGAGAGAAGAAGCTAAAGAAGAACTCAAGCTTTTTGGAGTAAAGGTTAAAAAGTTTGATATCTCTTGGTTATTTTTTCAATTTTCTGTTGGTATGGGATTTGTTGGGTGTGTGCTATTTTGAGACAAATGCTTCATTGTTGAGTGGGAGGACTGGGTATGGTGAGAAACAGGGGAGAAGAGGGGAACAGTGATTGATATCGGAAGAAATTTTGAGTTTAATGTTTGAAACAGGTGAATTTAAGCCTCAGTACTGTCATCTTGTGGATGTGTTGATGAGAAAAGGAAAGAGATTGAAGAAGAGAAAGGACCCCTATTTAATGATGGATTAGGAAGTGGTCATAGGAAGAGTTCACTTTTTGTTCTCTATGTGTGTAGCTTTTCTGGGGTTTTTGAATCATCCAAATCGGAGTGTGTACTATTGAGAGATATGACCAAAAGCGTAAGACAAGTGGCAGGCTGGAAGCGCGCGCGCCGAATTGGGCAGTGAAGAGTTCGGTTGCACACCTGCGCTGCGATTTTCCAAATGCGCGATCGGACTTTCACCTGAAACTCTCTGACTTCTCATTGCAATCTCGCGCTCTGCGACTTTTCAAAGTGCGCGCTGAGACTTGTTGCTCGCACCTCTCTGTTCCCATTTGGCATTTATAGCGCTCGCGATTATGCAAGTGCGGCTCGCGCTTGTAGCCATGGCATGCCAAGCGCTCGCGACCTTCATCGCGCGCTATGGATCTTGCCTGGGAACTCACTGTTCTTCTCAATATGGCATTCTACGCGCTCAGTGATTTGAAGTACGCGCTCGCAATTGTTGCCGAAACTCACTGGTCCTTCTTGGTGCATTTGGCTCGCGACCTTGCCAGGGCGCTTGCGAGATTGTTGTTTTCATTGCATTTTTGGACTTCTTTGTTCATTCAATTGTTTTTTTGGCTGTCGCACCTTTATATGCATCCAATCATTTTAACATCAATACACCATAGAAATGTATCACAACATCAATGCATGCCAAATGATATGAAATTCAAATATAATATGATTTCGAAGTTTATGAACTATATTCAATAAATGTTGTTGATATTATTGACATACCAACATTATGCCTCATTGGGTTGGTAGATAACCATGGTAAATAAGGGCTATGTCGAGGGCGACATAGGATAGCAGACTCTCACCTCATACAGTTTGATACTCCGGCTAAAGGCGTTGAGTGGATATGATATATATGGGCCAAGTAGCCAAGCTACGTGATTCATCCGTTTCATACAGTTTTTTCTTATATTTTCGGTTCACTATAACTTATACGAGCATACAGATATTTGACATAAATTTCAATAATTAAGTATTATAAAAGTAAAAGATAATCAAGGTATATGAAATATCATGGAATGTGTGTGGGCTTTTATATGTGCCATATGTGTTTACAATGGTTTTTATCATGTTGTGCTTAATTTGTTTCTTTATCTGTTGAGAGATATCCACTGAGCTTTATTGCTCAGCGAGTTACCTGTTTAACTCGCAGGTTTTGAGATTGGACCATAGAGAGTCGGCTTACAACTGCTGCAGTTCATCGGTAGAAGACTCAGTCTTCAGGGTAGCTACTCATTTGGATATGTATCTTTGTCTATCCTTTTCATGGCATGTACAGGGCACACAGTTGGGCCCATTTCATTTTGACTCTAGTATCATGTTTTGTAAATATACATTACATTATTTTTGTATACAACATCAGCATACTATTATATTCAATATACATTATGACTTCAGCATGTCAGGCCATACAGTCAACCAGTTTGTAACGTCGTTTGTAGCGTCTCGTTCAGTTCATTCGGGTTTACGGGTGGACCGGGAAGGGATGTTACACATTAATTCTTACTAATGGCAAGTAAATGTAATCTAATTTATATATTATTCTTTAATAATTTGTATTATAAAATATAGCATTATGAATAATTTATATTACTAAATTTATAAGAGCATTTAAAAAATATAAAAAAAGAATATTTCATGAAATAATAGAATAATAAAAAATAAATTTTCTCAAAATTAGAATTAACTTTAGCTTATTACTGTTTAAAATATATATATTATATTGTAGATAGATATAATTATTATCATAATTAATATTTTAATCATTGTTTTAAAATATCGTTTATAATTTTGATTTTTTTTTTTACTTCTTGCTTTTTTGGTTTACAGATGTTATACTAATCATTAATTTTATGATTGCTTTTTTTTAGAGAAAATTTCTTTTAACTTGTTAGATGGTTGCATAATATAATATATTA